AGGATCATGCTCTCACAGCCTCCCCTGTGCTCCCCCATCGTGTGAACCTCTAACACGATCTAGTTGATATCTCAAACACCCTACAGCTACAATGGCCCCCTCCGCTACCTCGATCGTTGAGCCCACCGTCCTCCCTCACAAGGGCGGCGTGTCCGTCGGCAACGGCATGACCAAGCCTGCTGTGGCCCCCAAGACCAACAGCAACTGGGATGCCTTTGCCTTCGAGCCGATCCGCGAGTCGCAGGTCGCTCGCACCATGGGCCGCCGCTACTTTGAGGACCTCGACACCTACGCTGAGTCTGATGTCGTCATTGTCGGTGCTGGCAGCTGCGGTCTCTCCGCCGCCTACTCGCTCGCCAAGCAGCGCCCCGATCTGAAGATTGCCATCATCGAGGCTGGCGTCGCTCCTGGTGGCGGTGCTTGGCTCGGCGGTCAGCTCTTCAGCGCCATGGTCATGCGCAAGCCCGCCGACAAGTTCCTCGCCGACCTCGGCGTCCCCTTTGAGGACGAGGGCACCCACGTCGTCGTCAAGCACGCTGCGCTCTTCACCTCGACCCTTCTGTCACGCGTTCTGTCTTTCCCCAACGTGAAGTTGTTCAACGCTACCACCGTCGAGGATCTCATTACTCGCCGTGACGGAGATGCCATTCGTGTCGCTGGTGTCGTCACCAACTGGACCCTCGTCGCCATGCACCACGGCGACCAAAGCTGCATGGACCCCAACACCATCAACGCTCCCGTCATTCTCAGCACCACCGGCCACGACGGCCCCTTTGGTGCCTTCTGCGCCAAGCGCCTCGTGAGCATGCAGGCCATTGAGAAGCTCGGTGGCATGCGTGGTCTGGACATGAACAGTGCCGAAGATGCCATTGTCAAGGGCACCCGCGAGGTCGTTCCCGGCCTGATCATTGGCGGTATGGAACTGAGTGAGGTTGACGGTGCCAACCGCATGGGCCCTACGTTTGGGTGAGTTCATTTGACACTGGTGTGCGCTATATTCGAGGCTAATCCGGTACAGTGCCATGGTCATGTCTGGTGTCAAGGCTGCCGAAGAGATCATTGCCGTCTACGACATCCGCAAGAAGGAGAATGAGATCTAGGTGCTCTCGCACTTGGTTCGCGTGGTCCGCATTCGCTAGTTGACACAGAATAAGATTGGATTATGTCTGATGGGCTAGCACTCACTCTTTAGCAACACGCATAATGCCGAAACTGTCACTCTTTAAACATCTGAGCCCAATCCTGGGAATTTGTCGTTTGCGTGTCATCTGGCTAGCTGTGCGAATATTGCATTGAAAACTTCTGTAAATACCGTAACCACATCAACAGCCCACCTACCAAGGCAACATCTCCTGCAATCCCTGCTCCGCCAATACCTTGTTGATAGCCGCCTCAGAGTTCTGCCACAGCCCCTGAATCTGCTCATCATTCTCAACAAGTGGATGCAGCTTCGCAACCTTGCCAAGCGGCATAAGATACTGCCCCTTGTACTTTGCCTCCTCCTCTCTCAACTGCGGCGCCGCTGCCGCGAAAATAGTGTGCCCAGACCCCTCCTCCAACGACAAGAAGTTGCCGTCCACAAGCGACGCAAGCCACGGCACCATCGACCCAACCGTCTTATCGGTGCGCACCTCGCCAGGATGGATCGATGTGCAGAGCACCGGGACCCCTTCCTCGTCGAGCCGACGCTGCAGTGCCCGGATGAAGCCCGTGCCGGCAATCTTGCCGATGGAGTAGAGGATCATGTCGAGGACGAAGACCCTGCTCGTGAGCCAGCGCCAGGCCCAGGGGTAGTACGGGGCCGGGTTGGCGAGGACGTCGCGGGACGTGAAGTTCGGCTTGTAGCCCGCGGGCAGGAAGCTGGATGCGGCGCCGGAGGTGAGGCCGACGATGCGGACGTCTGCCCCCGGTAGACGGGCCGTGGCTTTGAGGAGGGGCAGGAGCTGGTTCGTCAAGAGGAAGTGGAATGCGAAACTAGCACAACAGTGGTTAACTCAATGATGAAGCTGGGGGCTGGCTGGGATGTGCGCGTGTGGGGGGGAACGCTTCTTACTCGCCGGCAATGTGCGACTCCCATGCGTCCTTCGTACGGCGTGGGTTGCCCGTCGCCGCGGCCATGTGAACTGTTTGGGCAACCAGCGTCAGCGCGGTCACCTTGCTACTACTGCCATGGGTCGGGAATGGACTGACTCAGAATGTCGAGCCTAGACTCCTGCTTCTTGAAGGCGTCTGCGGCGCGGACTGCGGTCGTGACGTCGGCCAAGTCGAGATGGACCTGGTGCAGCTGCGCCGCCTTGATGGCGCCATTCTGCGCCAGCAATGCGGACATGGCGGTCTGCGTGCGGCCCTTGTCACGGGTCCCGAGATAGACTTTTGCGCCGCGCAGCGCGAGGAACTTGACGGTCATGAGGCCTAGGCCGCAGCTGCATGTGGAGGCGGTTAGCATTCGAGGTTCTGGTCGAGGGCCTGGGGAGGTGTTCCTTACTTTCCGCCGGTGATGAATGCGACTTTGCCCGTCAAATCGGGCGTTCCCTCGAGAGGGTCCCAGTTCTCGATGGTCAATTCTTGGGCCATGGCTGAAAAGGGTGCTGGCTATAGGATTGAGTTGCAAAGGAGAGCCTAGCTGAAGATTCAAACTCAAATATCTAAATGGGACCGTCGTGACTCTTTATGTTGACTTTCACGATGGCTGGCGATGAGTGTCATAGCTGGGTTGAGGCAGCAGAACCAATCATCTTACACATTTTCCGAGGATGCTGCATAAAACTTGAACCTGGTGGGAAAGCAGGCAATCTGAAATACTGCGTCCGACGCCACTCCTGTATGCCTAAGAACCTAGCCAAGGACCATCGGCCTGAAAAAAGTCCCGAGCCCTGGCCCCAAGCTTGGGTGGTCCTCAAAGCTTCGGGCCATGCTGCCAGGGAAATGCATGTTCGACGCCTCGCAACTTGAAGCCTTTTCGGGTCCACTCAGCCCCAGCCGGTGGTAAATGGATCATGAGGATCCAGCAAGCGATAGCAGGCGCCGATCCCAGCGTCAGGTTCGGAGGTAGCTGTCCAGCTCAGGCTGAATGTAGACTTCATTCCAAAACGCCTGAACCTGCGCCAAAAACGCTTTCTCGGACCATATAAATTTCTTAAGAATGCCAAGCAGCTCAGGCCATGATGTGTACAAGCCTCGCAGCCTGCCCTCAAGGTTGCGTTTCAGCAAACCCAGATATTCCGAGCGCGTCGTCCCAGCTGGAGCGAATGCCCCACCAATGTGCAGTAGCCAAGTCAGCAGCTCTCGATGCTCAGCCCACCAGGGTTCGGCGTCTGCTTTTTGTAGCTTATACAGCAGTCGGAGCGACAAGTGAAGCTATCAACCCAACGGGTCAGTCATCAAGGTGCGTGAAGAAGATGAAGATGGTCCAAATATGCTTACCGGCACGACCGAGGCACGCCACCTTTTGCACCGCAGCATCGTTGAGCATAGATAAGCCCCGACATAGCAACAGTCTGATATCGACGAGGTGGCTTCCATGTCTACGATGCGTGACTGAATTGACGCCTGGTGATTGTCGACGTTTGCCATGGACATAGCGTCTTCTGGGCCGAAGAGATTCGTGTCTCGGATTTGCTGAAGAGCATGGACATCCTCCATGATCTCGAGAAAGGTGTGTCCCAGTACTGATGACAACACCTGGAACCCAGGCGGTAACTTGAAGAAAGTCGAAGATGTCTTGTCTCTGCTCCAGGAGAGCTCGGGAAAGGACTGATGATGGAATGTTCGGCTCGATCCTGTCATTACTGAAGAATTGAGATCTTGCCTATCTTTGGGCGTCAGACTTATTTGATAGATAGACTGGAGGTTCTTACCAGAAAATGGCACGCTTTAGGTTATCACTCAGGACGATGCCCTGTTTGAGGCAGGCTTCAAGCAGATTCTGGATTGCACCCATGTGTATTTGGACTTGGCATGGCAGTCCACGTCGAGCCTGTCACGTAGCCGTTAGCCTTGACAGTGTTCATTAGACGAGAAGCGAATGAGAGGCTGACCTCTGCTCCTGCTAGTAGCAGAATGGCCCCGAAATTTGATTCTGATATGGCAGAATCAAGAGAGCTCATATTCTGCCGTAAACAGCTCAGAGTTTGGTCCTTATATTCGAGACACTTCCGGTTCATGCTGCCAGATATGACCGCACACGTAAAATTGAGCCTGACGGCATAGAGAAGAGCTGGGTTATCCGGGCTCTTCCGAAGGACACATGATATGTTCTGCAGCACAAGCTCGTCTGCTACGTCGAACACGGGATGCATTGAAGCGGAACTATCTTTTTCAGTTTCACAGAAGTCAACGCCTCAGTTCGTCTTGGCGTGTGTGGTGCATTTTTCTTACAATGTACCTTGAGCAGACGCTGCAGGCTTGGTAGCCCGCCAACCAGCATTTGAAATGCGTCAAGAGTGTTAATAGTTGAAGAATATGGCGTGGAAACAATGTTCTGAAGGGTCTTCGAGGGCTTTCCAGCCCGGCCCTTCACTTTATCATTCGGGGAAACTACACGAAAGTTCGCGCCAGACTTTTGCTGAAGCTGTCGTTTCCTCTCGAGAGCTTGAGACACAGCGTGTGACCGGGCGAGTCGCAGCGACGCGCGGTCCCTACCTTCTCCAGGGTTCTGAATGGAGATGAACTTGAAGGCTCGTCCCGGCATTGGGTAAGCAACAATAGACGGATGGTGCTCAAGCGATGTGATAAGCCACCTTGCTATCGTCAGGGGAAGCTTCACTGGAGTATTCGATGATGACGGACACCAAAAGTATTGGGCGAATTAATAGGTTATGTGGCACATGCTAGCAAATCTGCCTGCAATTGGACCAGAGGCAAGAAGGTATCCGTGAAGGGGAAGATAAACTACATGTCGGCCATGTGCGCAGGACAAGATGACCAGCTGGTTTTTGATTACCAAGAAGCCACCAGCGACTCCTCAAGGTCAATCACCTGGGGCAGAGTTTCGGTTACTAAGCAGACATCCAGCAGGGTTCGTCTCCACAGCCATTACCAGGCGCCAGGTTTCAGCGCTTGTACCCTCCCTCGCTCGACGCTTGAACTTCAAACCCTCGCCTGTCATTGACTTGTCACCAACTAGCAGGAAAGGCAAGCCCAAGCTATGGTTTTCAATCCTCATCCCACCGGTTTCCGAACGAAACATTGGCGAAAGCTTTACGAATCGTACATCCTTGACCTCAAGTCTTTAAGGCAGGTTGTTGAAAGCGGCGGCATATTCGTTTTTGTAGATGCCGAGCCTTGGGGAGCGGATAGTTCCAAGCCAGCAGAAATTGGACTATCTCTCGTACCAAGCCTTGACCTAATCACAATTGCTAACAAATCTTCGACGATGCTTTGGACTCTGGACAATCTCAGCACCGAACATTGCATCGAGGCACACAGATTTCGTGTTCTCAGCAGAGATAGGCAAGAAAAGAGACGCCAGCCTCACCGGTTCGGTCAGAAGCATGAGATCGTGGATGAGGAGATTGAGAAAAGCATTTCTGATATAATCCACGAATTCACGCAGCAACATCAACACCCATCTCGACAAACTCCCATCGTCTTGGCCGGCTTCAGCCTCCACTTCGAGTTTTGCATTCTGTCGGGTCTTTACCCCAAAGTACTACGTTTCTTTACGCACTGGCTAGATCTGCAGGAAGTGGCGGCTCGAGTTGCCGCAATGGACGAGAGGCTTGTTCATCCTAGCTTACGCGAAACTCTTGTTGCCTGCGGCTTTCAAGATGTAGCTTCGCAACGCACAAAGCTCCTGCACAACGCAGCTACAGACACTACGCAGGCAGCAGCACTTCTGGTTCGACTAATGTCACTGCGAGAGGGCGAAGAACTAAATATTCAATGCTCCTCCCACAAAGCTCATCCAAGGACATATCGCAAAGATCCCCTTAAAAAACGGATTTGGAGATGCAGACCTGTTCCAAAAGAAATCTTCCCCTATGCTGCAAAGATATCCCGAAAAGAAGGATTTACCATGTTCAATACGGCGGAACCCCTACTAAGTCTGTTTATTGACCATTGCCCGGTAGCTGTGGGACTTTCTGGCGACAAAAAGCACGGATGGGTGTGCCTACCAGAGTTTGATGCTCTGGAGAGATTCATCCATCGTGTCAATGTCTCAGTAGATTATGGAGATGCGTGGGTTGCAATTTCGGCATACGATGAAACGATAGTGCCCGCCAAAGATATGACGGAGCTGAGGCTGACCCAGAAGGAGAATTTGCACGCACTTGCTGACGAAAAGCGAAAGCAGAGAAGTCGAAAGATAACTGATGTAGCCCTTCTTGAAGATGAAGAGGATACGAAGAGTCAAGCTGGATATGGGGCAATGGTAGAGGGAAAGAACAAATGAAACAACAGAAAAAAAAGAGACCGGTCAGTAACTGCTTGAGCATGATTCAAGACTTCGCACTACCAATAGGTACTCAACAACGTCATTCCTGTAGTGAGGAAAGCGGACGCCGAAATACGACTCTAGAGGTCCCTCTTAACGCCCATTCTTGCCACTGAGATTGTAGACGTATTTTAGTCCTGTGTTTGCCGCGCGGCTACCTGGAGCCTGCGTGATTCCGCTTACTTTGGCTGATGGAAGCGCTCCCCAGCGACAGCGGGTTATGATCCGCTGTGCCCCGACTTTGCGACGTGTGACGTTCGTGTTGAATACTATGCTAGTGTTGGCCGGGTCTGTTTGTGATGTACTTGGGGAGCTTGCGTGAAGTAAGGTAACTACCGTTGGGCGGGATATAGGACAAGCCGATTGGCCGTATAATTTGGCAAAGTGCCCTGGAAGGGTGGCCCTTGGGTGGCTCGTACATTTCAGGGGGTTCCTTATTCAACGTCACAACGCCTATGACTGTCTCGTGCTCTTCTTTTCTTCGAGCCAGCGAATCTTCCAGTCCCCAACACCGCACAGCCAACATCGAACAGCTCGTGACCGATCACACCAGCAAAGCTTCACTGCCGTTCCAAGGAGCTCAGCTACACTGCCGCCATATACATCTAGGCCCTCTTTTACCAATCAAGCAGTCGTCCCACTCTCAGTGCCGCTTTCCGCCATGGCCGTTCCCAAGCCAAATAATACCAACATCAGGCTTCTCGCGTGACCCGTCGACGAAGACGACACAGATTATAGCGATTATCGCTTCCTCGTCGACAGGCAACACGTCAAATACGTAACCACAGCGCCAGGAACGTGCCGCGGGGCCGAGGATTGCCGCACCTTCGAGCCCACCCTCCTGAGCCAGCTCCTTCCGCCCTTTCCAATTGGGACTTGAAACAAAGGCCATGTGGCTAGGGATCCGAGAACAGGGGAGGTTACCTTCTCTAAGGCGGAGACAGTGCACCTTGCCGGGGAAGAGAACCTTTGGCATCCCGTGAAGCTGAACGAGTTGGACTTTACGCAACAAGACCGAATGAGGCAGCGAGTTCACGTTTCAACGCATGCCGAACTCAACGTCGGCGAACCCGTGTTAATCTAACTTGCGGTTTGACCATGGGAATTGCCTCCATCGAGGTTGAGACGACTGCCTACCAATGGATCAATGACAGTGGTATTGGCCCAAGGTTTTTCGGTCATCTTACCGAAGGCAAAGGCGGGCGCGTGGTTGGTTTCGCCATTGAGTGGTTGCGAGGCGTAAGAGCCGGGCCAGGAGACATTAAGAGCTGCAAGAAGGCTTTGACACGATTGCACAAGCTGGGAATAAAGTCTGGGTTTATCGACAAACACAACTTTCCCGTACGAGATGGGCATGGCGTTGTTTTGGTGGACTTTGAGACGGCGAGGCACAACTGTTCGTCCCAGGAGCTCGAAGATGAGATGAGAGCCCTCGAGGGCAGCTTTGACGATAGAAGTTTCCGAGGTGGGGTAGACTCAGTTCATGAGTAGCAGATCCGTAACCTTCAGGTTATCCTGCCGACTTGGCCAACATTACTTCAATTTTCTTAAGTGAGCGCCTTGATAGCGTTAGCTCGGATACTGCCGCTCTCGTCTAGAACCAGGCTACGGTTGATGATAAAAGGACTTCGAGACCAAGCCACTACAAGCCTTTGAAGAGGCCCAGCCCGAGGAAACGTGATAGGGTCGCCGAAGGCTCGGCAATGATTAAGTGTCAGGGTTTGGGCACCCTTCAAAGCACAGCTGAATAACCAGAGGGTTATGGGCGATGAGTCAAAAAAATTGAATGTACTGATACCCAAATACGAACACTCGGCGAAGAAATGATTACAGGAGCCCGGTTCAGCCCCCTAGCAAGTTAACAACGCAATCAAGGAGGGAAAAAACGGTAGAATTATAACGTCTTGAAAGTATGGACGATACAGTAGATACGGCGGGGCCTATTGGTATCGCTGGATAGCTTCAACTAGATGATGATGATGAATCAACTCGATACATAGATGAAAGAGGAAACAGACACTCGGGCAAGTCACTTGTAGGATGAGAACGTTGTGAGGTGGGTGAAGCGCGGACCACATCCGTGATCCCGTATGCTTCAGGCGAATCGGACCTGAATGCTGTGTACTCTGCACAGGAAAAGTTAGCAGCCAATTGTATGGAGTGGAGGGACTGCAGTGGAAGTAACTACGGCAAAGAGCGCAGCAATACACATATGAGCATTCGTCATCCTAGCAGGCAGATCACGAACATCCACCAGCCTTCTAGTGGGGATGCTGGTGAGGCGCTGATTCGCTACACGAACGTCTCCCTAAATAGGAAACATCTTGTTTCCCTTTCAGGAAACATCTCGCTGCCCCTTTCGGCCGTCACCAAAGCTACAGCCGACGAGCTTCGCCATAATCATTACAAATGCTCTTTTTGGTCTCATTGAAGACGTGCATATAAAGGTCGAAATGCTCTCGGGGTTGTGATCCAGATTTCTCGCTCATATCAAGCACTTGACA